CATTACATGTTATTATGTGTGTGCTTTCTGTGGTCATTACTCATTTTGGAGTGTGTGTTCTTTGATTAGTATGTCTCATTCTGTACATGTAATGACCCCGACCTCCGATTAATGCTAATTTATGATTAATTATGCTTACTAGTAATTTAGGAAGGATTTAGGATTTATTTGCATCTGTATTGCATTATTTATGTGTTTCTATCTGTTTGTGATAAAGTGATCTGTTCATGTCTTTGACTATAAATTGCGAATTGAAAGCCTTATCGGCATCCGAATCAGAAATCAACTTGATTTATGTGCTAGTTAGGATTTATAGAATCTTATGGTAGGTTTAATTAAAATTCAGTTCGAAACGATTAAATTAGATTAAATAATGCTTGATGAAACATAGATTTAGTGAATGCTCGTAATTACACTTTTGCCCCTTAGTGGGCAACTTTGTCCAATCTTGATTAGGAGCTCTTCATAACATTTCCTTAGCCACTTTGTGACAAAAAAATGTGAGAAAAAGTGAGAGTGTGAGAGACATGTTTTCAACAAGAGAATTGAGCTTGAACTTGGAAGAATTGAAGAATTTTGTGCATACTTGAGCTTCTAGGCTTGGAATTGAGGACTTAAGGTAGGAGAATTACCTTCCTAATTGTGAATTGAGTTAGTTCTTGCATGATTCACGTGAAATTACTTACCTAAGTCTAGGATTAGCTAAAACATGTTGAATTTAAGCTTAAATAATGCATGCATGTGCATATCATGAAGTTTAAAGTTGTTTTTATGGAAATTCTTGCATGCATGTTTATATTTTGGTTGAAGTCCATGATTTCATCTTGTTTTTGAAAGAATTGGCTCTTAGAAGCATGAATTGGAAGCCTTGAGGTTGATTAAATTCATGCATGTTACATATCCATCATGTTCTTGAAGTTTATTTGAAAATTGTGTTTAATTGAACTACCTTTGGGCTTTGATTTCTCAAATTGATCTTTGAAACATGTCATATTATGAGTTTACAAGTGTTTTATAGAAAATTAGCCTAAAAGGATCGAATTTGATGCATTGTAGTTGAGTTTTGAGCTTGAGGTTCGAATCTGGAAATTCCAAATTTTAGACTCACGCTCGAGCGGGTAACTTCACGCTCGAGTGTACATATTGGGTTCATGAAGTACGCTCGAGCGGTTGAAATGACGCCCGAGCGAAAATTTCGTGTATCCAGTACTTTGCCTGTGTTTTCAGTCCGCTCGAGCGGGGTAATTCACGCTCGAGCGAGGACTTGTGTCTCACACTCGAGCGGGTATCGAGCACCCATCGAGCGCGAATTTCATGCATCCATCACTTTTACTGTAGCTTGAAGTCCGCTCAAGCGGAGTAATCCACGCTCGAGCGTATTCCTTTTGTCTGTATGTCCGCTCAAGCGTAGAAGGCCACGCTCGAGCGGGACCCCTATTTCAGCCAAATTTTGAAAAGTGTTTCAAAGCGCATCTTTGCATCCTCATTCCATCCTAAGCATTCCTAGGCCATGTTTTAGACTCTGTAATAAGGATAAGAGATTAGAAATACACTAAGAGCCAACGAGATAAGTTTTGTACAATTAGAACGTGTGTTTCAGGTGTGTATCTGTTATGTGTCGTGTAGGTCACGTGCCATATACCGTTTGACTAGTCTGCTCCGTCTGTCTGCCTCAAAGCCAACTGTGAGTAATAACTTAGTAAAGCTATGTTCAACTTTACTTACTTTCTGTGTGATGAATTAAGTTTTCTGAAATGCTATCTTATGAATTATGAATGAATGTCCAATTTTCTGAAAAGTATTTGTGGCACCCTTAGTTCACGTGGCCCTCGCCCGGGGGTAACAATACCGCGGCCAATCTGCACGTGGCCCTTGTCTGGGGGTAACAATACCATGGCTACTTGCGCGCAAGTTATGCACCTTTGTGGTCATTGGTACCAACTATGTATGTGGGTCTCTGGACCAATCTGTTCTGATAGCTAATGGGTGTACCACGTATGATCTTATGCAAAATCTGAATATGCAAATTTATATGAATCTGTTTCTGTTCTGAAGTCTGATTACGCTCTGAATTAAATACTGGATTCTAACTTGTGATGGACATCATTCATATAACCCCTTTACTCTGTTATTATTCACTGGGCTTTCACTCACAGTTTATATTATGTATGTAGGTGAGCCGGCACACGACCAGGGCCAGAATTAATGCCCTTTTGTACCTTTTTTGGTCAGCCAACCGTAGTGCCTCCCAAGGAGGTTCCGTCCAAAGTCTAACGCCAAGGCTATTTTTGTGTTTCATGCTAGTATTTGTGTAAGCACTGTATAGTCAGATCTTGGGAAGTTCACTCCTGTAAATATTTTGTAAATACTGTGTATCTGGACTGGCATGCTTATATATATATATATAAGTAAGTTTTGAAATGTTTTGTCCCATATACGTACCACAGCTCATTGGACCTTGTTTATTTTGTATTATTGCTTCCGCAGTCCCTTATTATTTGTTAATCTGTTCAGAGGCCTTTGGTAATCCACGGATTACTGGCCGGTTACGGTGCTAAACCCATAGGGGCGGGTTTGGGTCGTGACAGTACATACTCTTGGATTAGCAAATATCGGAGTCTTCCGCCATGGTGATTTATTTTCTCTATGGACTTCTGGCATAGTATCTTTTGTTTTTACTAGAGGAATTGACCTATACTAGTATATCTTGGGTGATGTTGAGTCTCTTAACCACCTTTCATCTTTTTTGCATCTCCACGGCTTTCCCCTCTGTTCTTTGGAGTCCAACCATGAGGAAAAGGCTACCTCAGAGTCACCAACCAGGCCATCCTTATTATATCCATGCTTCTCTGGTTCGATTTCTATACTTTTGAGCGTGTCAGCCGCCAATGAGTGTGCACAAGAAAAAGAAAAATAAAAATAAAAAGAAGAAGAAAAAATATGCAAAAGAAAGAAAAAATGTGCAAAAGAAAGAAAGAAAAAAAGAAGAAGAATAGATTCATTGATTGAGGGGGAGTCTCCGCTTTTACTCACCAAATACCCCTTGATTCCTAGTAGTTTGACTTTCCTTTGTTGTGCTTAGATTCTCTTGTCGGAGGTCCAACTTTCAGATCACTACTATGATTGAATCTAGTGATTGTCAAACTCCATGAGTCACACACACACTTTTCTCATGGGATCTATACTTTTCACATAATGCATCACTTTCTTTTATGAGGAATCTTCTAGAGGCTGTGCACATTGTGTTTTCAAGTAATTGTGCTTCTTGGATAGTCTTGTGTGTTTTAAGGTACTAATCTGAAATTCCTTACTTGATCCACCATATTATTTTTCTCATTTTTTTCCTGTTCATTGTTTTCAATGTTTGTGGTTGTTTTTCATGAGGGGGAGTTTGGTTTATCATTGGAAGAGCTTGTTAACATGAACTCTTTGAATTGTTTTGGTAAGGGAGATTGGCCGTAGTTGTGTCATGTTGCTATGCACTGCTTCTTTCTTGTTCCCTTCTTGCATGCTATAGTTGTTTAAGCTTCCTTTGTCAATTCGTGACAAAAAGAGGGAGTTATGTTGTCGGGTGCATATGTCTTAGGTTTTCATGTTTCTCATCTCATGCTTCAAGATAATCTAGTCATATGTTTATTGCTTTTTCCTATACTCTTGTGGCACTAATAGTTGTTTTGGAGATTGTGGTACTTATAGCTGTTTTGCAGATCATGACCTTGAGAAAGAAGTTTGCGTTTGTTGGCTGTAATGGGTTGGGGTGATTAGGATTTCATGTGTTAGGTGTGTTTTGTCACGTCATTACCAAAGGGGGAGATTGTTAGGTTTTTATTTTTGGCAATCTCGTTTGACAAAACTCCTTTCAGTTGTACTTGTTTTCGCATTTTTATTTCAGTGAGGCTATGTGTTTTAGATGCGAATCCAACCTGAATTGTGCCTTGCAGAAAAGTTTGTGGTGTTAATTCTTTCAAGATTGCCACTTCGCTGACTATGACAGGTTTTTTCCCGCTCAAGCGGAACTTTCTGCGCTCGAGCGTCGGTCGCTCGAGCGGCCATTCTGACGTTCGAGCGGAAATCGCGGGATAGTTTTCTATAAATACGTGTTTCAGTCCAAATCTAGGACAGCGCCTCCAGATCTTCTTCTTAGGTTCTAGAGTTTATATCTGGGGCTATTTTACTAGTTTTTTTTTATGTTTCATTGAGCATTCAACTCATGGTTTAAGAAGCATACATCAAAAGTTTGTTTGTTTATTCTACACAAAAGAGAGAGAGTTGTTCTTCAGTAGATTCTAGGGAATTCGAGCCTGAAGCTTTGGTGGATTCTAGAGTAGTTCATCGTTAAGATAATTTCGAGGTGAAGACGGGGTTTGAAGAGGCACATAGGGGTTGGTTCAATTCGGGCGTGGATTCGCTAGGTAATTGAGAGTATACCTGTGTAATTCCTTTATATCTTCTTAGTGGATTGTTTTGTGGCTGTTGCCCGTGGTTTTTTTTATCACAATTGGAGGTGCTCCAATTATGGTTTTTTCACGTTAAAATCGTTTTGTTGATTTGTCTTGATTGTTTGATTGAGATTGTTATATACTGCTTAAAATTGATACATAATCACAAATCAATATCTAGGGGATTTCTAGATTTTTCAAAACTTAATCCTACTCTCCAGCTCGGGACCACAAGTGTTCAATTAGATCATTACGAATTACATTATGGCCTTCAATAGATCTAATCCTCTGCCTATTTAACATAAATTGAGCATATTTCTCATTCAGATCGTGTGACACTTGACAACGGGTATTATTGGTATCAGTCTGAAATTGTACTGCACTGCATTCATTTTCTGGAATATCACGCTAGTCTTCAATGATCATATTGTGCAAAATAATGCACGTCATCATGATATAGTATAGATCCTCATCACTCCAACCTCTAGCTAGAACTCTGACAATATTAAATTGTGCTTGGAGCACTCCAAATGCCCTTTCGACATCTTTCCGATATGCCTCCTACATCCTCGCAAATAGTTGTCTCTTTGCGCCTTGAGGTTGAGATATTGTTTTCACAATCGTTGCCCAACGAGGATAGATACCATATGCAAGATAATACCTCATGGTGTATGCGTGATTGTTGATGGTGTAGTTGGCAGTAGGGTCACGTCCTCTAGTTAATTCAGCAAATAAAGGCGACTTGTTAAGAACAGTAATATCATTTAGAGTGCCAGGCATGCCAAAGAAAGCATGCCAAATCCACAAGTCATAAGAGGCAACTGCCTTGAGTACAACTGTTGGTTTGTGGTAGTGTCCAGTGTAAGCACTGGCTTGGGTAGTTGGACATTTATCCCAACGCCAGTGCGTATAATCCAAACTTCCTAACATTCCAGGAAACCCGCGTTGCTCTCTCTCTTACAATAGTCTGGCGACATCTGCTTCATTTGGAGTTCTTAAGTAAACGGCTTCATACGTAGCAACAATTGATTTGGTAAAAAAATTCAAGGCAGCAATTGCAGTACTTTCGCCGATTCTAATGTACTTGTCTACAACATCAGCGGGCACGCCGTATTGCAGGATCCGAAGTGCTGCAGTTATCTTCTGTATACCGGATAATCCAAGAGCACCAGTGGCATCACAAGTTTGAATGAAGTACTCATTCACTTGTTGAATATCATGTAAGATACTAACAAACAATGACCGCTTCATTCGAAAACGTCTTTGGAAGTATTCTTCTGGATAGACAGGATTATCTGTAAAATAATCTCTACAAATTTGTCGGTCGCCTTTGACCCTCTCACGATTAATGTATCGACGACCACTTGTGAAACCAATACGTATGGTTGGTTGGTTTAGGCTTAACGTCTGTATTCTTTGTTGTTGCGCTGCGAATAGTTGTATCATGATGATATCATCATCAGATGATGAAAATTTATCAAAATCTCCATTGAATATGGCTTTATTCAAATTGTTCATTGTAGGTGGATGGGTAAGTGGGTGAATATGAAAATTGTAGAAAATCTGCTGGGTGGGTACAGAGAGTTTAGAAGATATGAAAATGATGGATAAGTGAATATGAAACTTGTAGAAAACCTTGTATTATATTTATAGAGAAAATGTGGATGGGTGAATGATGGGTGGTTGTTGGGTGGGTGGATGAATAATGGATGGTTGTTGGGTGAGTGGATGAATAATGGGTGGTTATTGGGTGGATGGATGAATAATGGATGGTTGTTGGGTGGATAGTTGTTAGTGAATGAATGCTGGGTTAATAATAGATGGTTGTTGGTGGTTGGTTGTTGATGGGTAATTAGTGATTATTTATTTTTTATGTGTAGTTAAAAAAATTTATTAAATATGAGGTGATATATTTTTTGGTAAGGTGAATTAAAGGAACAAATTTTTTTTTTTTCAAATTTTCATTTTTATTTTTTATATTTGTCTAGTTGAGAATAATATAAATATATAATTTTTTTAACAAACAGGTAAAAAAAGGTCACAAAAGACAAAAAATAAACAAAAATAAAATCACAAAAAACCTATATCCAAACAACACCTACAAACCTAAAGAAAAAATTGGTTGAAATTTGTCAAAAATAACAAATGACCATTAAAACACCATTACTATAATTTGATAAAATAATTTTATTTATTATCAAATTATAATAATAACAATAACAATAAAACAATCACCATTGAATATGAATCTCACGCACATCATCGATTGACATAGCCCACATGGGCTACTTTTAAAATTTGACTATAGGCACATTATTTTTTAAGAAGATTGTGACATAGCCCACATGGGCTACTTTTAAAATTTGACTATAGGCACATTATTTTTTGGAAAATGATTGAGGGCCCTAAAAAAGTTACCCCTAATACCCCTAATTTCCAATTTTGAAAACTGTTTTTTTTTTCTTTCTTTTTCCTTTTTTTTTTTTTTACCTAAAATGGAATTTCGGGGCATTCGAGCCTCGAAATTTAGGGCCCTCAAGCAGCACCGATATATATTCTTATTTGATGCAAGATCAAGAAGAAATGCTATATATATTCTTAGTTCATAATATATATATTCTTACTTGATCACTCATTTTTTTTTTTTTTTTTTTTTCAATTATCACCTCACTAGTGATAATATTAGTGATGATAAATTAGTGGTCTATAACATTACTCTTTAAGAAAATTGTAAACTATTCACACAATTTTTTATTGCATTTTTTAATGGTCAATTCACGATTGGAATGAATCTCACATCATGAATTGTCATGGGCCACTCTCATTGTAGGTAAGCAATACAGCGTGTTGCTATTATTATTGCTACATGTACTTAGGCTTTGTTTGGAAACATATTATTTTAATAAGGCCACTCTCATTGTAGGTAAGCAATACAGCGTGTTGCTATTATTATTGCTACATTTATTTAGGCTTTGTTTGGAAACATATTATTTTAATAATTTTTTAATTTTTTATAAAAAAATATGTATAAAAATATAAAAATAATATGACAATTTTTAATAATTTTTTAATTTTTTAATTAAAATAGTCACTCTCCAACAACGAGAGGCCTTAGACTAAAGATTGGATCCCTACACCTGCAGTGGATGTTGACTGGTTGGAATTTTTTATTTTTGTTATTTTTTCACCAATGACCAACCCCGTGTGTATGGGGGAGCGGTGGGGATGCCGTAAAATGGGGTCTGCAGCACATCTCATGTACTTATTACATGAGATACAAACATATTGCTTAATTAACTATTTTTAACTATTTCACAATTTTTTTTAATAGAAAAATCTGAATTTTGATTGTATTAATCCAAAATTAAATAAATTTGGTTAGCATATGAATGAAAATTTGGCTGCCAATTTATAAGCCTTAAACTAGATTTCATACTAGAATAATTGGATTAATAAGAAAAGGGTCAATTACACTACAGTGGAGGCAGTAAAAATTAATTTATAATTTTAATTATTAATATTTATAATTTTTTATAATTATTCTTTCTTCAGTCCCTATAAGAAAAGGGCAAAAGATGAATTTTTTTAGGAAAAGTTATTGGCCAAGTGAAAAATTTATCTAATAGTGTTGATACAAAGCTTATTCTACTAAAATTTGGACAAGTGAAAAAAATAATAAAATAAAATAACTTCTTGTAAAATGATCAATTTGTGAGTTTTAAATGATAGTCATTTCCTTACCTTCAAATTGCTACTCCTTTGGTCCTTGTTTTTGTTAAACTACTGACCCTTGCTCTATAATTGACTTTTTTTTTCTTTTTTTTTTTTTGGGTGAATAACTCTATAATTGACTTCAATCCCCAAGTATAGCTAAAACACATTTGGCTGCCTCCATAATATTATAGTATGCCACAAACAAAATGAAATTCAATTGTAACTAAATATTGTGCCAATTAACCTCAATAATCAGGTCCTAGAGTTTACATTCACTAAAAGTGAATAATAAATATGAGATTAACTTTTTAATTTTACAATGAAGATTGCTACCTTCACAATCTTCAAAACTACATAAATCGAACGGAAAAAAACAAATATATATATATATATATACATATACGATTTTTCATGTTACATAAATAGCTCAATTTGTCATAGAGAAGATTGCGAATAGGGTCTAAATGACATAAATTTAGTAATCCCCTATCAAATTCTTATGAAAAATGCTATATGTACTAATTAGTGTACTAACTAGTATACCAATTGATGATGTGACATAATTTAAGAAGTTTTTGATATTTTTAATTTGTAAAATGAGTGGAATCAATAATAATAATATCATAACTAGTGTTGGTATACTAGTTAGTATACTAATTGGTGCATATAACACCACCGTATTCTTATTTAAGTGCCCAATTTTTTTTTAAAAAAAATAAAATTAAATCAAAATAGTTGAAAATTAAAGTGAAAAGAGAAAGGGGTTGGGGGTGAAAATGTCATAAGGGGTAAGTTTGCCCTCTTATTCATTGCATTGCCGCAAAAGAATAGGTTGTCATTGATGAACCATGTGGCCCCATGAACCGCGTAGTGATTGAGCACCAGAGAGGGAGAGAGAGAGGGAGACGGAGAGAAGAGAGGTTCACCACACGTCTAAGAAAACTTCATAGGTCTCTTTACTTGTAGAAGCTAGATTTGGAACACCATCTTCAAAATAATAAAATAACAACTAAATTTGCAACACGTTTTGTAGAATTATAATGAATAAGTTTGTTTGGTGTGGACATTTTTAAAACTGGGCAACGCTTGTTATATTTTAAATTTTTTTTAAAAAATTACTTTTTGATCGTTTGAAAATGATTTTATTATTTCAAATTTGTAATTTAAATGGCTCGAGTTGTAACTCAAGTGCTAATGTGACAACACTTAGGTGTCAAAGTCAATGATGTAAGATCTCGATTCAAGTTAATGGGGGTGATATCAGCTTGATGTAATAATTTAATTTTAATAACATCTTACTATCTTATGTCTAAAAAAATAAATTAAATAACTATTGTAGTTATATTAAAAACACACACAACATATGTAGCATCACTTTTCAATGTGTGCATATATGTGAGTGTTTGTGAGTGTCTGTATTGAATTTTGAAATTACTAATAACAATTTTAAGACATTGTATTGTTTAGGACAAAGTCTTCAGTCTCATTAATTATATCTTCTCTACTACATATTTTCATATTATTACATTTTTATTTTATCGAATGTCTTTTTCTCTTTGACGTTTCATATATGCACGACTTTATTTTAATTCGTTTATTTCATTATGCTATTTTATTTTTTCGATTCATATTATGCTATTTTGTTATGTTTAGTTGTATCACGTAATTTATTTATTTGTGTTGTTTGGTTTTCTAAGTTTGGTAGAAAATTAGTGCTGCATAAGCAACCAAGATAAGCAATAAATTAAGGGGATTTATTAAAATAGTTTATTAGGGGTGGGTGTGAGTTTGTATGTTTATTCTAAATCAAATAGAAGTCTTAATTACTTATTAATATACATATAATTTTTTATTTGATAAAATATACAAAATGTATTAAAAAATTTGTTATAGAGTGGACTAAATTTTATTATATGCATCCACTGAAAAGAGAGATAAAATTTTGTGTAACTGTTATTTTAACAACAATATTATATGTTTTATACTTTTTTACTTTATTTTATTTATCATATAATGTGTGGGTGTTTTGAGAAGTTGGTTAAAAATTGACCTTTTGATTTTTTTTTGACTTTTTCTAAAAAAATGTGTAAAAAATAGAGAAGTGATGTGATTCAAAAAAAGGCACAAAATGCAAATAGTTGACTTTTAACAAGCTTGCCAAAATGACTAACTATATTGAAAATGACATATGGGATGGGATCTATTATCTCAATGTAGTATTAACACATGAGAAGATTGATAAAATGAGATAAAAGTATATATACAATTATTCTATATATTTATATATATTAGATGGGTAAATTATATTTTGCCCATTTTATGTTTGATCATTTTTTTACTTTAGTCTATCATGTTTTAAAATCTTCTCAATTTACTCCTAAAGTTAACTTCTGTTTAAAATTAGATAAAATATGTTACGTTAGCTGTTACATGACATAAAAGATTTATTTATATTAGAGTTTGGATTTGTGTTAGAGTTGTAAGTTATATATAATAAAAACAATTTAATGCATGTGATTGTCAATTTGTCATTTTATGTTTAATTTTGGACATAAACTAACTTTTGAAGTATATTAAAAAAAAAAAATTTTAAACATAAAATCTAAAGTGAGAAAAGAAAATTTTAAGAACCAAAGTTAAAAAAATAATCAAACATAAAAGGAGGAAAGTGCAGGTTTCCATATTTGATTAGATTAGATATCTTTGGGCCGTTCAGTTGGGGGATGTTTGGGAGTGTCCAAATGTATTGCTCCAACATTTTTAGATTTTTATTTTTTTTTATTTTTATCACGTGTGGTATTTGAATTTGAATTTGAATTTGAATTTCATTATTTTCTTTTTTTATTCTCTTCCTACCGATTGAAAAACTATGTATATAATATATAAGGAGTTTTCTTAAGTGTGTAAGTGCACACCATGTGCCACTTACACAAAAAGTGTAAGTGTAAGGTGTAAGTATAAGTATAAGGTGTAAGTGTAAGGTGTAAGGTGTAAGGTATAAGTGGGTTGCACATGGTGTGCAACCTCAAAAAAGGTGTAAGTGTAAGGTTTAATTTTTTACAAAAGGTGTAAGTGTAAAGTATAAGTGTAAGATATAAGGTGTAAGAGTTTTATGCTAACACATGCTTAGCTCGTAATAATAAGCAGAGTATTTGGGCAAGCATGGGTTTGTGAGCATCACACATCACAATGACCAAAATTAATGTGTTAGACACAAGGCTCCTTTTCGAGACTTGGGTTGTAGCCAAAAATTTTAAAAAATAATTATCACATCACTTTTTTTATTTTATTCGCACGTTTTTATTATAAAAAAAATTTAAAAATTAATTAAAATAATCAATTTCCAAATAGACTTTAATAAACATCTTGACAAATATTGAAACATTGTTTTTTTATTAATTAAAATGCATAACAAATCAACATAAATTTATAAAATATCAAGAATAATATCCATAAAAATATGACTTGAAATTACCCAAGTCTTCAAGGGATTATAAGAGGCATACACTAGGCTTGTTTAGTACAATTTTATTTGTTTGGAAATACACTACACAAGTGCATTTATTTGATAAGTGCACATATTTAGGTTGCATCACCTCTATTTTTCTGCACATATCTTTTAAAAAAGTCAAAAAGTACACTAACAAGTAAATCCCAAACAAAGCAAAATTTTTAAGATAATGAACTTTTCAGATTATTTAAACTAAATCTACTTAATAAGCTATAAGGAAATGTGCACCAAACAATCTATCTCCCAAAATAAAAAATAAAAATAAAGATATAAGAACAGCACATATAAGCTGCATCAAACAATCTCATTATTGCATGAAGCATGTTGGTTTACAACTTTCTTTTTTTTTCCTCCGTGAATCCTTCACTAAATCTAAGATTCAAACACAACTTAAAAAGAAAATGGGCCAAGAGTTTGGATGTACAAAGATACAGTCAAACATGGTTTCCTAAGATACTCTCTCTTGTTGACGAATCAGATGAAAGGTTTGAGAGATTAAAATACAGAACAGACTTTAATATTGAAGGTATCAAAGAATGATCATCGTCAACCCCCCCAATGTACAAAATCAACATTATTGCCGCCTACCTCAAAATGCTAAATATCAATTCTAACACAGTTCTCACATCCAAATGAGAACAAGAAATTTGATCTAAATAATTATACAAGAGAACTAAAAGCTAGATTGGAACACTAATAGGACTAACAACCTATCAATTTTGTTAGCACTAGAGAGAGAGAGAATGCAGTTACCGTTCTGATCTACCTTGCTGTGGCGTGTTCAAGTACTATCGAAGATAGATCTTCGAACACTGTTTTCATGTCTGGTCTTTCAGATGCTGGGAGTATACATCGAAGACCCACCCTAAGCAAATCGTGGAGGTCTCTCCGTGGTTGATCCACATTGTGTGCACCCAAAACCCGTTTGTCAAAGCACTCAATGGAACGGTTTTCTGCATCCAATGATCTCACCCATTCTGTTAGATCAACGGCCCCAGGGTTCCCAGAAATTATCTCTGCGGAACTTCTTCCAGTTAAGAGCTCCAACAAGATTACGCCAAAAGCATATACATCACTCTTCAGTGATGGCATTGGTTTGCTTGTGCTTGCGAATTCAGGTGGTCGGTAACCGAGAGCACCTGCGTTTAAAACCTGCTCGGCTGTGCCAGCTGGCGTCATTAGCCGGTGAAGACTGTAGTCAGTTAATAGTGCATTGGCGCCTGGAGTTCCTATTAAGATGTTTGTGGATTTCAGGTTGCCGTGAGGTATTGCTCTCTCGTTGTGGAGGTAGTTCAAACAACAGGCCACGTCGACGGCAATTTTGAGCCGTTCATCAAGAGACAAAAGTGGGAGTTTTTCGGAGTCTGTCTCTGCAAAATTGACTTGTTTCACATATTGGGATAAAGCCAGACAATCCAAATCAAGTATCGTTTTGAAAATGAAAAGAGATAAGGATTAACACCACCCTCCTAAATAAAATAAAATTGCTCCTCCCTGCTTCCCCTTCTTCCCTTTGCCCCCCTCTTTAGTTCTATACATGTGATTGGGTCTGAATTCATCAGACTAATAAGTTGACTCCATTTCATCAAACTTCAAGCATTTAACATGGCAACAGTGAAGCTAAAGTATATAGTCATTACTTATATATATGATGAAAATGTAGTAATTTAATATGAACATATAGCATACAACTTAAAATTTATTGCCAATCATGTTTTACTATACCCAAGCTAAATTTCATGTTTGAACTCCCATTGCATTCACTACGTTCATTACCTCAAGATTGAAATTATAAAGAGAAACCATGACATTGTGAATTCTTGATAAGCATGAAAACTCATGAAGATCGACGCACAAATACATTTATTTGTTCCTGGGTCTGTCATAGGAACGTCATTGCATGATTGCAGTGTTTTGGCCCTTAGTTCACTCAATAACCTCACGTTGTTTGAACAACCATAAAGATAGACAAAATTCACAGTATAAGCAATTCCAATACTACTAGGCATTGTTCCTAACAAGAGTACTGCTGGAAATTTGTGTTAATGCATATAATAAGATAGTGGCATGTATATAATATGATAGTGGTGTTGGTAGTAGATAGTGGAATGTATAGAATATGATAGTGGTGTTGGTGGTAGATAGTGGCATGTATAGAATATGATAGTGGTGTTGGTGGTAGATAGTGACATGTATATCTTTTCATTGTGAAAGTTGCATTTTTGCAAAATTTCATCGCTCTACTTATTTGCCAAAACCTTACCAGGCTTCCAAACCTTTTTATTTGATTCATAGTGATGTTTGGGCCCTTGTAAAATCACTACTCTTTCTGGTAAAAGATGGTTTGTTACATTTATTGATGACCATACCCGCTTATGTTGGATTTATTTGATGAATAAAAAATCTGATGTGAAAAATTTATTCACAAATTTTTACAATATGATTGAAAACCAATTTCAAACCAAAATTGGTATTTTACATTCTGATAATGGAACAGAATATTTCAATGAGCAGTTGGGTGAGTTTTTGGAAAAAAATGGGATTTTTCATCAATCTACATGTCGGGATACCCCTCAACAAAATGGCATTGCAGAACGAAAAAATAAACATCTACTTGAAGTTGCACGTGCTATAATGTTTTACATGCATGTTCCTAAATATTTATGGGGTGAAGCAATTTTAACAGCCTCTTATTTGATAAACAGGATGCCTACAAAGGTGTTAACATACAAAACACCTTTCGATTGTCTCAAAGCTTTTTTTCCTGACACGAGGTTGTTTTCTGATTTACCCGCCAAAGTTTTTGGATGTACTGCCTATGTTCATGTTCCCAGTCAATTTCGTTCAAAACTTGACCCCCGTGCTATAAAATGTGTTTTTTTGGGTTATTCCTCAAACAAAAAGGGGTATAAGTGTTTCGATCCTCAAACCAAGAAATTTCATGAGAGTATGGATGTGTCATTTGTGGAAACAAAATCCTATTTCCCCAACACTTCTCTTCAGGGGGAGACAAGTGGAGTAGAAGACCGTTTTTGGGATATTTCTATCCCGCTCCCTAATGTCATTTATCCTACACAAAAACCACATCTGTCTGATAATGACTACTTAGGAGAACTAAGTTCTATGGTGCCTAGTCAAGAAGATTCTTGTTTAGGGGGAGAAGTACTACAAAATGATCTAAATCCTGAGCTTCAGGTTTATACTAGGAAGCGATTTCATCTGAGGAATAATGACCCGAATGTCCATCCTAATGACCCGAATGTCCACCCGAGTTCTGGCATCGAAATTTTAGGTAACCCTATTCCTTCTATTTCCGACCTTGATGTTCCTATAGCAATTAGGAAAGGTGTCCGAAATTGCATTAAACATCCTATTGCAAATTACCTCTCCTATCAAAGACTGTCTAAAAACCATAGAACTTTCACATCTAGGATTTCACACTTGTTTGTTCCAAGGAATATACAGGAAGCATTGGATGATCCGAATTGGAAATTAGCAGTCATGGAGGAGATGAATGCTTTAAGGAGAAGTGGTACTTGGGAGATAGTTGATCTACCCAAAGACAAGAAAACAGTTGGGTGTAAATGGGTGTTTACGATAAAATGTAACGCAGATGGAAGCGTTGAGAGATACAAGGCGAGACTGGTGGCTAAAGGCTTCACTCAAACTTATGGGACCGACTATCAGGAGACGTTTGCTCCTGTTGCTAAAATAAATTCCATCAGAATACTGTTATCTCTTGCAGTAAATTCAGATTGGCCTCTACATCAACTTGACATTAAAATTGCATTTCTCAATGGTGATCTTGAAGAGGAGGTGTTCATGAGCCTACCGCCGGGATTTGAGCAGAGACTTGGAAGCGACAGAGTATGCAGATTGAACAAGTCATTATACGGACTCAAACAATCACCAAGAGCGTGGTTTGAACGCTTTGGGAAGGCAGCTATCAGTTGTGGCTTCTTGCAGAGTCAAGCAGATCACACAATATTTTATAAACATTCAAAAAACAGTAAAATTGCAATTTTGATTGTTTATGTTGATGACATCATTTTAACTGGTAATGATAAAGCAGAGTTAGCAGCCCTCAAAGAGAAACTCGCAAAAGAATTTCACATTAAGGATCTGGGAGCCCTCAAGTATTTCCTCGGAATGGAATTTGCAAGATCCAAGGAAGGTATATTCGTTAATCAGAGAAAATATGTTCTTGATCTCCTTGGAGAAACAGGTATGCTTGGTTGTAAGATGGCGGAGACTCCGATCGAGCCTAACTTGAAGTTACAAGCTGCTAAGGCTGAAGAAGTCAAAGAGAGGGAACAATATCAGCGACTTGTCGGGAAATTGATTTACTTGTCTAGAGAAATATGTGAAGAAGTGTGAAAAATGCCAGAAATTCGCACACCAAATACATCAACCAGCAAGAGAACTCCTACCCTTAACTAGCCCATGGCCTTTCGCAATGTGGGGCTTAGACATAGTAGGACCACTTCCAACAGCACCCGGAGGCAGAAAATTCTTTCTCGCAGCAACAAACTACTTCACAAAGTGGGTGGAAGCAGAAGATTCCAAAGGATGGTCACCAAGATGTTCGAACCATTGTTAGGCAGAACAATGGAGGCTTACATCGACGACATGGTGGTCAAAAGCAAGGATGAGAATGACCATCTAAAAGA